TACTATTCAAACGCGTTACCGACTGACACTGACTGTATACAACTGACTAAAATAATTGTAAAAACATTGTTCCAAATTCTTTCGCTTTTTTGTTTCCGATGCGATGAACCAAACACGAGCACATAATATTATTATTGAGACAGGGCGGTACTCAAACTTCCAAAGGGCTATAACTTTCTTACTTTAATTTTACCAAAAAAATGGTAAAGGAAAAAAACATATCTTTTGATCAGATCTACTCACTGTTAAAATAAATGACTCAACTTCGAAGTCACCCTGTATATTATAAATTACCGTTTGTTCGCTTTACCGATAAATCTGACACTGACATAACATCCCTCATTTCTGCTAACTAACTGCCTACCAGATTCTGCCTCCAAGTGCTCTAACGCTCCTGAACTAAAGCATCACACATCCAGCGATGGCAATTGAACAGTTGAAACAAATGAACTGTGGCGCCCTCCATAGAAGTAGCTGACGCTGTTCAGCTGCGATCACCATTGTTGCTGCTGTTGCTGCTGCGTTGAGAGATTAATTGTTTTGGATGGATTCAATCACTCGTCCAGACCACCTGCACGAGTTACCGGATATTGTGTACACTATACGTGTACCTCATTTCAAAGGGTTCTATTTCGGTGCGCTTAGGAAACAGAGCCAGACACAGACACCGCCATTTTGCTTTAGCTTTTTAGCATGGGTTTCTGCAGGATATATACTGGGTGTAAAAGCAGCGGAACGGCTCTGTGTCTTTCAGATATGCTATTTTTTAAAAAGCGTTTTGAGTAATCTTTAATGGTGACCTAGAATTTGATCTTATAAACAAGGATCTAAAAGCGAAATCCATTTTTTAAGGAAAACATGCAAATTAGAATCAGCAATCCTCTGACTCGTGGTGCTCTTTGGTGGAAAATTCAAGTCCCTCTTAAAGTTGAAAACTGTAACTTAGCATCAATGCTCCTGTATGTCAATAAAAACGTTTTGTCCATGTTTTTTAAGAAAATTTTATATGAATGACTAGTTATTTTCAAAATTATTGTATGCCATTATATTATCCTTGCCTAAACCAATATATACTAAGTGACATATAAATCCGAACACCCAGTTTAAATGGTTTTATTTTAATAAAATTTTGTATAAGTACTTAATGAAGCATAATAAGTCAATGATAAAAATTTCAAAATGATTGCACTGCTTTAAAGCTCTTTGACCTTTAATAATGTGTGGATGCACCCTGATGTGCTACGCATTCTCCAACGCGCCTAGGCATGCTTCTGATCAGGTGGTCAATGTCCTCCTGTGGTATCTCATTCCAGGCAACCACCAACTCCTCTCGAAGTGCTTCTAGAGTCTGAGGAGGACGTTGCAAATTGAGCAATCTCCTACCCATCATATCCCATACGTGCTCAATTGGGGATAAGTCGGGAGATCTTGGTGGCCATGGTAACAATGTGACATCATTATGTTGAAAGAAGTCTATTGTGACTATTGCAACATGTGATCGGGCATTATCTTGTTGGAATGTTGGATCTGCCAGGGTGTCAAGATAGGGTAAAAGATGGGGTTCTAGAACTTCGTGGATATAACTCTGCACGTTCATGTTACCTCTGATGAAGATTAAAGGTGACCTGGAACCATAAGCTATAGCACCCCAAACCATAACTCCAACAGTGTGATGAACATGTCTTCCAACAAAAAACTGTGGATTCCTCCTTTCACCACGTCGCCTTCTAACCCTGGCACGACCATCGTGCATGCCTAAACAAAATCGAGACTCGTCACTAAAGGCAATACTGTTCCATTCCTGATCCCAGAGTGACCGTTTTCTGCACCACTCAAGGCGATTACGACGGTGTTCTCGAGTTAAAGGGAGGACTCAGTGTGGCCGGTATGAAAACAAGCCAAAACTTCTCATTCGTCGGTAAACACTTCGCATGCCAGTAGGTCTTCCGTGTTCTGCAAACCATTCATTTGCAATGGACCTGATAGTGGAGAAACGGTCCCTTAAGGCCAATATCTTAGGCGGCGATCTTCACGGTCTGTTGTTCTACGGCGGCGTCCAGTGCCCCTTGCTCTTTGCGTACGGCCTTCTCGAAGCTATGCCTGACAACACCTAACCACAGTGTCTACACTTCTTTGCACTCTAACTGCAATTGCCCGAAAAGAAAGTCCAGCTTCCCGAAGTCCCACTATACGGCCCCTATCAAACTCACTAAGTTGACGAAATCGTACAGGTCTCCGTACTCTAGGCATCGTAACCGATCGTAAAGGATGTCAAGAACCAAAATCCGCCAACGTTGATTCTTTACTGCGGCTGAAATATTCATTTTTAGAGCGTTAGTGAATTAAAAAAAGCAGTATAAAAACCGGAATGTCCAACTGATAAGGCTGAACATTTTTTCAATTGTTATTTACAGTAAGATAAATAACATTCACCAACTTTTATTAAAATAAAACCATTTAAACTGGGTGTTCGGATTTATATGTCACTTAGTATACATCAAAGCGCTTGCAGAAAATCCAAAATCACTGTTGACGTCTGATAAATAATCCAACAAGATATGACTACACATCTGACATATCATTTGTATGAACTGCCTAAGTCTTAAATACTTATTTAAATATTTGTTGCTAACAATACACAGTAAGAAACGTTTATACTTATACAGAAATTTCATTCCTCGACAGGATCAGCAGACATATAGACGAAATCAGTGGCATGGTTTTTTGTGATAACATCAAAAAAACATCTTATTTTCAAAATACTTCCCCGCCAGTACACGTGGAAAGTAAACACATCAACAGACAATGAATTAGAGCTGAGAGATGCTCGTAATTAATAAAGTTTCTATACTCTTTCGCATTTTTATGGTTGGTGGATACATGAAGCAACCCTCCAAACTTGTCGAAAGCCGTCTTTTAAACATCCCTACGTCTGTAATGGAAATCTCCAAAAAGTGGGTCAATCTTCGCAAGTCCATCTGTTATTTAATTGCCACTTAGTATTTCTGCGATCTTCCAGATTCAATTTTTCTGTCTTCGTAATCGTAGACAATTTGTTCATTAAACTTTTTTATACAAAGCGTTACAGTCCAGGCGTCTTAGTGTTAGGATGATTTTGTTCGAGAATAAACTGTAGATGTAAAATAGGTATTAGTAGACTATCTTACCAAAATATTAAGTTTTTATTGATGTCTAATATATGAAAACGTTTATTCATGTTCTTGGCATATAAAGCATATTCCTAACGAACTTTCTAAGGTTATGTGATTTACATCTAAAATAGAAATATTCACAGCATATACGAGCCCCTTCAAACTTCAGTTGGCCCAACTATTGAAATCTTAGTTTTTTTCTTATCAGGGTGTTATAGGTTCAAAATTTTAACAACGGATATTTTGATAATATATAGTAGAAAACACCAACTTTATCTCTCCCTAATCAAATTTGCAGCATAGAAATAACACATGTTTCAATTACAGCATATCAACCTATTTTCATTTCAATGCAAAATAAGTCTATAACGCATAGGTGGCTGTGAAAAATAAAAGCCATGACAATTGTTTTTATTAATCACAGCTGTCAGAATACGTTTAAAATAGTTTTGGGTAGATAAGCTTTTTAAAATGGGTAGAGGAAAGGTTATTAGTGAGAAAATTCGGCTACTGATAATTAAATTTCTTAATTCTGGGAAATCAAACTCAGAAATTGCAACTTTGTTAGATTTATCGCGATACAGTGTGAGAAATATTATTAGAATATATAACGTAACTGGTTCAGTTAATATTAAGCCACGATATGTGAAAAAAAGTAATACCACAAATTCCGACCGAAGAGCATTAAAAAGAATAATCGTGAAAAACAGGTGTGCCAATTATTTACAATTAAGTGCTCTGTGGAGTGACGCTGTCGGAAGGAGAATTTCGAGGTCCACATCTCATAGAGAGGCCCACAAACTGGGATTTAGCACTTGCAAGGTAAGTTTTCTTATAAAAAAAGTGAAGGAAAAACCCTAAAGTTGCACAACTTGTTTATAGACCAAAGAAAAGCCACTATTAACTCCACAGCAAAAGAAAAAACGGCTTAGATGGGCTAAAGAACATAGACAATGGACACCTCAACAATGGTGTGCAATACAATGGAGTGTTGAGGCCTGTTTCGAAGTTTGTGTTGGTGACAGTCGCAGTAGAGTTATTCGCAAAGAAAATGAAGCATTCCATGTTGACTCTCTGAAGAGAAAAGTGGCATTTCCAGCATCCATTATGGTCTGGGGCAGTATGTCATCAAAAGGAGTAGGAAAACTTCATTTCATTGATGCAAATGTGGATACAAACAAATATTTGGCAATTTTAGAGGAATCGCATTTACCAGTGATGGAAGAATGATTGACATCCGGCCAAGATTTTGTGTTTCAGCAAGATGGTGCAGCGTGCTAAAGCACAAAAAAGGCTATAAAATGGATGGAAGAAAATAATGTACCACTTTTGAAATGGGTTTCTTGCAGTCCAGATCTGTCACCTATTGAAACTTTGTGGCACGAGATAAAAAAGGTTCTACGACAACATCCTGCTCGTACAATCACCATTTATTTGCACATTGTTTAGTTGTTCAGATGTTCTATTAGATATAGGTCTAAGTGATTCGTCACGTTTAGTTTATAAAGGCATATTCTGGTACAAATCTTGAAGTGGGCCAACTGAAGTGGGAAGGGGCTCGTATAATACAGTATATACTATAATTGGATACCGATTCTAAATCCTTCTGTAGTTCGTGACAATACTTAGATGGTGTTATGGGTTCAAATATTTTTAGGTCGTCAGCAAAGAGAAGACATTCTGCATTGTTTATACAGTTTGGTAAGTCGTTAATGAAAATACAGAATAGCAAAGGACCAAGGTTACTACCTTGCGGCACCCCAGTGGAAGCTATGTATTGGTTTAATACTAATCTGCCAACCTTTACCTGTTGTGGTCTCATAGTAACATAAGATGCAATAAATTTACATGCAGTTGGAGAAAAACCAAATCTACCCAGTTTAGTTACCAACAGGCCATCGTCAACCTTATCGAAAGCTTTGGCACAATCTGTAAACACAACCATTAACTGTTGTTTATTATTTGTAGCCTCAGCCGCTGCCTCTGTAAAGATGCTTAAATTGGTAGCAGTTGAGACACCTGGCAAGAAACCATGCTGTTGAAAAGTCCTTTATAAACGAATTCAGTCTTGAGACAATATGTTTTCATAAATCTTTGCAGGAGCAGTAATAAGCCTGTAATTGTTAACTGAACTGGCATCTCCTGACTAGAATGTTGGAGTTAGAGATGCATTTTTAAATTTTTCAATTTGAAAATTTGTATAACACTACTGATAGCTGCTTTGTACGGATTCAGCAAGGATGAATACATATTTACGATCAATTTTTCTTACCACACTTTAGATTTCTGTTACCTGATTGGGAAATTTGCGGTACATAACGCACAAGTTTCTCAACATAAGTTTTGTTCAACTATGACGCAAAAAGTTCATGTAAATATAGATCCTGAAATGTCTCATTGTCAAGGTACAGGGCATTGTGAATTCATACGCTCTACTAACGAATCTGAATAAGGACAAAACATAGATAGTGCTGTGGATAGAGTTATTCTCTTAATACTCGCACGCAATACAATTTTTAATATCAAACTTCGCATTTTCAAGATAGAACCGATTGAAGCTTTTTATACGGATTTTAACCTCAAGTAGTCAAGGAGAGGTGCTTCATTGAAACTTGAATACCTTATGCAAAAGTGCAATAGTTGCTTCCAAAAGGTCAATGAAGTAGAAAGTACCCTATTTTACCGTTACTGGTGTCTGGAGTAAGAAAGTGTCCCTGCGTTTAACTATGATGTACTACGTATAAGACATTTTGAGTCAATATCTTAACACACCCTGAATATACAGGGTGTCTCAGTTTATTGTTGCATCACTTTAAGATTCGATAGAACTTCAAATTGATGCATAAAGTCTATATAAACATGGGTCGAAAAATGCGTGGCTTCCGAAATACAGGGTGTTTAAATTTACTTTCTAAAATAGTTTTTTTTAAGTATTTCGAACAATATTTGATGTATAACAGTGAAAATTGGTACACAAGAGTTTTTTGGTACGATAAAACGAACCATGGGCATAGTATTACTGTAGCCGCTAGAGGGCGCTCTCTACTGTACCTGTAGTGCATTAAAATGACCGAAAATTTTTTCTTAGTGCAACTTTTTGCTTTTTGAATGAAAACACTGATTCTTCGCAATTTTCAACATAAAAAAGCTCTCTTGTGAATTTCCGTTATAGTTAGCTGTTTTTGAGATATTTCGACTTTTAAGGTTCGATGCATTATTAATTATTTATGATAAAATAACGTTAAAAAGTCAGTATCTCAATAATTTTTAGAAGTAGGCTGTGCCTGCAAATATTTTTGAAATTGAAAGCAGATTAACGTTGAACGTCAATTAGTTGACAGTTAGTTTTGTTGTCTGTTGAAACTTGAAACGTTTTTTTGCAATATTGAATGCACGAAATTTAGTTTCTTTTTCCTGTTTTTTTTGTAAGTTTTATAAAAATGCCATTTTTATTCTCCAATCAAGAGTTAGCGGATATTCATTTTGTGTATGGCTTTGTAAATGGAAACGCAGCAGAAGCAGCCAGAGAATACGCACGAAGATTTCCAAACAGACGTCATCCAACTCGCTCACTATTTGTAAGAGTGCATCGCCAAATAACTGAAAATGGTTTTGGAAATCTCTGCGTGAGTTTGATAGAGATCCGACCACAAGTGTTAGGAGAGTTTCTGGTGCCTTGGGAATTTCAGCAAGCCATGTCCACCGTGTTCTTAGAAATGACCATAGACGTCCTTACCATTTGCAACCTGTGCAAGGACCACAGCCAGGGGACGGAGAACGAAGAATCACATTTTGTCAGTGGATTCTTGATAGAACTGATAATAATAGGGAGTTTTTAAGTAACGTTTTATGGACCGATGAGTCATGCCTCACTAGACGTGGAGTGGTAAATTTTCAAAATCAACATATTTGGTCGCATGAAAATCCGCCTGCGGTTCGGGAAAGAAATTTTCAGCATGAATTTAGTGTGAACGTGTGGATTGGTATCTACCGTAATCGACTATTTGGAACCTACCTTTTGCCTGCAAGGTTAAATGCTGCGACCTTCTTGGAATTTTTAAAGGCCGAACATGCAAATATGTGGGATGATGTTATGTTAGATTTAAGAAGATTGGTCTGGTTCCAGTTTGATGGTTGTCCAGCTCATTATTCGAGAATAGTTAGAAACTGGCTGGACGAAAATTATCCAGAAAGATCGATCGGCCGTGGAGAACCTGGCCTCCACGATCCCCTGACCTAAATCCATTTGATTTTTTTGTGTGGGGATTTCTAAAAGAAACGGTATACCAGACTTCCGTAACCACAAGAGATATGCTAATAGACAGAACCAGATATGCATGTGATGAAATAAGGCCTTATTTGAATAATGCTATACCACGTTCGATCATTCGTAGATGTGAATTGTGTATTGAACAATTGGGTTTACATTTCGAGCAACTACTTTAGATTTTGTATGTTTGTCCTAACTATCCAATAGCACTTTAGTTGTAAATAATTAATTTAATTTGTTAAAAATAATATTGGAAAATTAAACAAATTAATATTCTGTTTTTTTGTGTTTATTTGGAGTTAGGAATTATTGGTGTGTTTAAAAACACAATCTAAAGGATCGTCTTAATTACTTGTAATGCCCAAATCGAAAATGTAAAAAAAATATTATTTTCCCATAAATAATTAAAAATGCATCCAACCTTAAAACTCGAAATATCTCAAAAACGGCTAACTATAACGAAAACAAGAGCTTTTTTATGTTGAAAAGTGCGAAAAATCATTTTTTTTATTCAAAAAGCAAGAAATTCAACCAAAAAAATTTTTTCGGTCATTTTAATACACTACAGGTACAGTAGAGCGCCCTCTAGCGGCTACAGTAAAAATATGCCCATGGTTCGTTTTGTCGTACCAACAAACCCTTGTATACCAATTTGCACTCTTATACATTAAATATTGTTCGAAATATTTAAAAAAAAAAACTATTTTAGAAAGTAAATTTAAACACCCTGTATTTCGGAAGCCACGCATTTTTCGACCCATATTTATATAGACTTTATGCATTAATTTTAAAAGTTCTATCGAATCTTAAAGTTATGCAATAATAAACTGAAACACCGTGTATATTTTTTTGTTCGGACAAGGTGGTAAAATATTGCAATATATAAAATTCTTTGCTGATGATTCTCGATTCTACAACAATTTTAATAGTGACAAAGTTACAGTTGCAGAATCTCGAATAAATGAGGATTTAAAGGCTATTGATAATTACACAAAAAGTCATAACCTCCGTTTAAATCCTACAAAATCAAAAGTTGTCATATTTTCTCACAAAAGATCAAGGAAACGGATCATCGAAAACGAAACAGACGCATTTATTGGCAGCTCAGTTTTTTTTCGAAAAACGTTCCGACCCGTCGATTTTGTTTTCGAGGGCACAAGTTTGGCAAATAATCATGTTAACACGTGCAGCCCCCTGGGCGGGGGTGACACCAACCCTGAAACCTTAAATGGAAGGGGGGGTCGAGTGATACCTTATTTTAAAGGTCCTTCTATTCCCTTTATAATGATGTAAAATACATGAGCTTCAGTTCAGTAGTTTTGAAGATTTATTGATTTAAAGCTTAAAGTAGACTTTAATAGGTACATCAGATTAGTTTGTACTACTTTCAGAAGAAATTTGACTAAAAGAATTTACTTATTAAGTGAATGCTTTTCTTCGCTACGCCCATGGTTTGTTTATCATTTTGTTGTTGAAAATAGCTATTGGAACGTTTTTTTGTGGCATAAAAGTTACTTCTTGAAGAAACATAAGGAAATATCTCGTACTTATTCTAAATAGGAATTTAGTACATAGTTTGCCATTGATTTAATTGGATTGGTAGAAGAGGCACCAGATTTATCACATTTGGATTTCATTATGTGGGGTCATTTAAAAAGCAAAATCTATGCTACTCAGCCAATATCATTAGAAGACCTGTGACAAAGAATTGTGAATGAGTGCCTTCAAATTACTCCTCAAGTATTGCAAAATGTGCGGCAATGTTTTGAGCAAAATCTTTATTATTGCATGGAGAGTCATGGTCGCCATTTTCAACATTTACTTGCCTAACGGGTCGGTTCGTTCTTCATTTTTAAATTACTTTACTGCCAAATGTATTGATCTCCACTAATGATGATGTTTTAGTTTTATTTAAGCTTTAAATCAATAAATCTTCAGAACTACTGAACTGAAGTACATTAATTTGATATCATTATAAAGGAAATTGAAGGACCTTTAAAATAAGGTATCACTCGACCCCCCTTTCCGTTTAAAATTTTGGGGGTGGTGTCACCCCCGCTTAGGGGGCTGCACGTGCTAACGTGATTTTTTGCCAAACTTGTATCCTCCTCGAAAACAAAATCGACGGGTCTGGGCGTTTTTCAAAACCAAAACCAGTAAATGCGTCTGTTTCGTTTTCGATGCGCCACCCTGTATATTAAATGATATAGAAACGTATCTCGGAAGGGCCAAATTATTCAAGTACATGAATCAGATAAAAACCTAGGTATTTTTCTTGTGTCGTGTCTAAATTTCATTCCACATAATCATTATATTTCAAGTTGTTTTCCAGTACTTCGTCAGTTATATCTCAATATTATTTACCATTCATTTTTAGATCCGGATTCGCTTGCAAAAAAATTCAATATCCTTGCCGTAGATTAGCAGAAAACTTGTATAAGCACGACCATATTTCGATATCTTTTCAAAAACTAGGCCGGTAGAATGTTACAAAACTATATAAATATCACTTACTATATTATGTTCATAAGCTCCAAATTTCCTCATTACCTCCGTTTTTAAGGAGAAACTAATAAATCGTATGTGAGTTCATTCTAGAGACATCCGCATTCCAAATACACTCACCATGCCTATTCAGAGAACTTATTTTTTCCCTAAAGGCTTTAATTCAATGCAACATTCGTATATAATTCATCACCCCCTGAAATTAAAT